GGCGACGACAGCGGGTGGTCGGCAGGGGAGGCCGCGGGGCGGCGGGGGCGAAGGGATCGGGGTCGATCCCGATCCAGATCGGTAAAGGGAGGAGAGAGCGAGAGGGGGGGAATGGGGAGTGGGGGGTTGCGGTTAGGGTTTCCCCCCCTCCTGGGGATAAGGTAGGGGCGGGTCGGCCGGCTGGACCAGGTGGGCCGGCCTGGCCGGTGAGCTGGGCCGTCTAGCCCAGTTGGCCAGGGGCCCTTTTTATTCTTTTTCGTTTTTTTTTGCTTTTGTATTTTCTTTTCTTTTATTTCTGTTTTATCTTTGTTTCTTATTGTTTTAGTTTTTTGTGAAATATATACTTGGCATCTAATTTGGTATTTCAATTTAGTCCACTACCACAAAAACTCTAGTCCCCAAATAATTTAGTTTGATATTTTATTTAATTAGTGAAGGCATTTAAATAATTAGTTTTGCTACTATTTAAATCATTATGGTGTAGTTAAGCATTTCATAAAAGTTTGGTTTCACCACCCCATTTACCTATGATTTATTCGACACATTTAGAACATTTTAGTTTTATTTATGGAAAACTTTTGTTGTTTGCCTTAATTTCAAATTTGAATTTGAATCGTTTTCAAACTAACACGAGATTAGCGACAGTAACGGAGGTGAAGTGGTGTCATTAGCAGAGGTTACTGTAGCTTGATTATCCGGGCGTCACAATCTGTGCCACGGCGATCGTGGCGACCGTGGGCGCGGCGTGGCGCGCCAGTGGCGGTGGAGGAAGCGGTAGAGGTACTACTGCGCGGGGTTGCACTTCTGGCGGGCGTGGCAGAGTGTCGAACGCGCCGTTGGCCACTTCCTCCTGAAGCAACGCGAGGGCGCAGGCCGTGTCCAAATCAGGCGGTCGCTGCACCAGCACCACCGCTCGTATGTCGTTCCTCAAGCCCTCGACAAAACGAGTTAAGAAGTAATAAGGGTGAATTGAATCAGAGTAAGAATTCAAATGGTTGATAATTAACTCAAACTTTTCAATGTAATCTGTAACAGAAGTTGTTTGGCGAATTGTGTAAAACTGGCGTATGAGCATCTGATGGCGGTCACGGACAAAACGAGTGCTTAACAGAGTTGTAAATGCATCCCAATCGAACTCGCCTAAACGCTTTTGGATCGATTGCAGCCACACAACTGCTGATCCGGTGAAGTTGAGAGCCGCCATGGGCACCCAGAAGGAAGGCACGATCCCAAACATGGCAAAGTACTGCTCACATAAGGTTTTCCATAGGTTTGGATTTTCGCCTGAAAATTGGGGGAACGTGACGGATGGGTGTGCCTGGCCCAGGCCAGCAAGCATCTGACTGGCGTGGCCGAAAGGAGATAGCAGAACTGGGGTGGTGGGATCAGCGGTCGTACCGTTAGCCGGGAGCGGCGGCGGCATCGTGAGGGACGAGCGGAGGGGAAGGGGAATCGATCTATATTGCTATCCGAAGTAGTAGCTGATACAGTCGATTACAGGGAGCAATGCTCTCGAATGGAAGGACAGGGGATGCTAGGGTTCGGGAAAGGGGAAAGTGGAGCCGCCGCCTTCGTGATCCTCTGGATGCCCATCTCCTCCTGGCTGCTCGCACTTGTAATGGACGTAGTGGGCCTTAGCGCGTCCATTCCGGCCCGTTGGTCCGTGGGCTTGGTCGCTTGGTCTGCGTGGGCCGCTGGGCAGCGTGGTTGTTGGTGGAGGCGCTGCCCTGCGGGTCCTGCTTGTCAGGGGCGTTGACAGAGATTCATATAACCATATAGCGTTTGCTTTGATTCCACACTGGAAATTAGCCAAGCGAGCTCGTAAATATAGATAAGAGTATCTCTTGTTTTTTCTTTTCATTTCCTTCAACGAATTAATAAACACGTGTATACGTCAGAATGGATCTCTGGCAGTTACATGGTCCGGCAGTTGCTGGGCTGTTCGTCGCAGACGACCATGTGCGCCGGCTGGTACTGGTGGTGGTAGTAGCTGGGTGGGTAGTAGTACGGCGGCGGGTGCACCGCCACGGCCGGCGCCGGCTTCGGCTCATCCTTCTTCTTCTCCTCCGGCTTCTTCACTTCCTCCACCTTGATGATTTGGGCGTGGCCGAGCTTCTTTCGGAGGCAGCTGACAAGGCACACAGGGTCGACGCCGTCGCCGACCGCCTCCAGCTGGTCCCTGGCGTCGCCGGTTATCCCCATGGATGTCACCCCGGCTGCTCTGGCGGCCAGCGTCAGGGCTTTGGACCGGCTCTTGTCGCATGATATGCTCAACTGGATGACAATCTTTTGCTGCAACAAGGAGAACAGCCGTGGGTCAATCGTATGCTCCAGCTTCAGCGTAAATGTATCGATTTCTCAAAATTGAGCGAGGTGCTAAACAAAGCAACACGAGAAGTAAACAAAAACTAGGAGAAGAAACTGAATATGGTTCCTCACCTTCATTGCTTGCTGCTGTGCTAGCTGTCAAGGAGAGACAGAAACTCGGGAAATGCTCGTGTTGGAGCGAGGCTTGATTGGTTTGGTCAGCTACTGATCGATCTTCCGCAGATGCAAGTGTCTAGCTTGTGATGATTTGGGGAAGGGGATGGCCGCCTGCCCGCCTTATATACACGCACGCAGTGGGCGCGGGTGAGTGAGCGGAGAGAACTAGAGCTATGGCAGTATCCAGCCAGTTGTAAGAAGATTCGTAGCAGAAGCGGTGGCAGCAGTTGAGCATTTCCCGACTGGGCTTGAGTAAACAACTGCCCAACTGGGCAAGTAGCTAGGCATGCATGTAAACGCGTCCTCAGTTGAATTTTCCCGATCGGCGGGCTACCCATGGAGACAATGACATGCGATGAAATCTGCCCAATTGTATCATGTGATCGGTTGGCCACGTTGGATGCTCCACCGAAGACGCGGCTGCGGACATAACTACGTAGACCGACTCGATCGGTTAGTGAACATATCAGCATGAAACGAGACAAAAATGGCATGGATACAATAGCAGCTCTGGTTCAAATGATCGGTGGTCCTCGATCAGCTCAATCAACAATAATTTTGTCTTAGGAACACGCGGGAGGAGAGGGGGCTCACACGCTCACACCCAACTTTTCCACTACTACATGATATTAATAATAGGCAATTCTTTTGATTTTTTTTGGAGAAAAGATAGATCCGTTGCAATGCAGTTGCGATGCTGCTTGTAGTGGAGAGTATTTTACATATATATCATATACATATGAGGCTAGTGTATACAGGGGGCGGCGCTAGGGGTATTTTTGGGTCTTCATGTGAATATCCATGATTTTTATAAAACAGTGTTGATTTTGGCAAAAAATGATAATTTTGGCAAAATGAATACACATGAATACCCAGTTGTAAATTCCTGAAGCCGCCACTGAGTGTATACTAGCAGAATATTATAAGTTGGTATTTTAGGAGTATTTCGTTAGCTTACAAAAACGTCTTACATTATGGGACGAAGTGAGTATAAATATAGTAACATTTAAAAAAATAAATTAGGATGGCCATCTGTGCACACCACACATGCACGAGCAGTTTTAACGTGGCTCCTCTTACCTCTTCTTTAATTAAGCAGTGAACACGACAAATTAGCCTATGGTAATTAATTGGTTCTATCCTGTCACCATCTCCCGGTGGGAAAGGCTCCATATTCCTTGAAAGAAAGAGGGAAAGGCTCCATCTCAAACTAAGGAAACTGAATCATATTATTTCTCAAATCTATTGCGAAATCGGCATGGAGTGAGAACTATGGTAAGATGTCCTCTACTGAATCTCTCTCCCTCCGAGAAATCCTCTCCTGAATCACCGCTCATCTAAATCTCTTTCTCCACGTCTCCTTCTCCATGGCTTCGGGCACAAATATCAGATTTTATGCCTTGGAATTGAGCAAAGATAGTTATCTGCCATCAAATTTTTGGTCATTGTGGAGGATCCGGCATTTTTATTCGTGAATGTGCCACCCATTTGTCATGGATGTGGTCGACTCGTGTTGTTTCCTTTGTGTCGTGCAGCGGTCTGAGGGCTAGCTATGGTTTTTGTGACGTCAGAATGGATCTCTGGCAGTTACATGGTCCGGCAGTTGCTGGGCTGTTCGTCGCAGACGACCATGTGCGCCGGCTGGTACTGGTGGTAGTAGTAGCTGGGTGGGTAGTAGTACGGCGGCGGGTGCACCGCCACGGCCGGCGCCGGCTTCGGCTCATCCTTCTTCTTCTCCTCCGGCTTCTTCACTTCCTCCACCTTGATGATTTGGGCGTGGCCGAGCTTCTTTCGGAGGCAGCTGACGAGGCACACAGGGTCGACGCCGTCGCCGACCGCCTCCAGCTGGTCCCTGGCGTCGCCGGTTATCCCCATGGATGTCACCCCGGCTGCTCTGGCGGCCAGCGTCAGGGCTTTGGACCGGCTCTTGTCGCATGATATGCTCAACTGGATGACAATCTTTTGCTGCAACAAGGAGAACAGCCGTGGGTCAATCGTATGCTCCAGCTTCAGCGTAAATGTATCGATTTCTCAAAATTGAGCGAGGTGCTAAACAAAGCAACACGAGAAGTAAACAAAAACTAGGAGAAGAAACTGAATATGGTTCCTCACCTTCATTGCTTGCTGCTGTGCTAGCTGTCAAGGAGAGACAGAAACTCGGGAAATGCTCGTGTTGGAGCGAGGCTTGATTGGTTTGGTCAGCTACTGATCGATCTTCCGCAGATGCAAGTGTCTAGCTTGTGATGATTTGGGGAAGGGGATGGCCGCCTGCCCGCCTTATATACACGCACGCAGTGGGCGCGGGTGAGTGAGCGGAGAGAACTAGAGCTATGGCAGTATCCAGCCAGTTGTAAGAAGATTCGTAGCAGAAGCGGTGGCAGCAGTTGAGCATTTCCCGACTGGGCTTGAGTAAACAACTGCCCAACTGGGCAAGTAGCTAGGCATGCATGTAAACGCGTCCTCAGTTGAATTTTCCCGATCGGCGGGCTACCCATGGAGACAATGACATGCGATGAAATCTGCCCAATTGTATCATGTGATCGGTTGGCCACGTTGGATGCTCCACCGAAGACGCGGCTGCGGACATAACTACGTAGACCGACTCGATCGGTTAGTGAACATATCAGCATGAAACGAGACAAAAATGGCATGGATACAATAGCAGCTCTGGTTCAAATGATCGGTGGTCCTCGATCAGCTCAATCAACAATAATTTTGTCTTAGGAACACGCGGGAGGAGAGGGGGCTCACACGCTCACACCCAACTTTTCCACTACTACATGATATTAATAATAGGCAATTCTTTTGATTTTTTTTGGAGAAAAGATAGATCCGTTGCAATGCAGTTGCGATGCTGCTTGTAGTGGAGAGTATTTTACATATATATCATATACATATGAGGCTAGTGTATACAGGGGGCGGCGCTAGGGGTATTTTTGGGTCTTCATGTGAATATCCATGATTTTTACAAAACAGTGTTGATTTTGGCAAAAAATGATAATTTTGGCAAAATGAATACACATGAATACCCAGTTGTAAATTCCTGAAGCCGCCACTGAGTGTATACTAGCAGAATATTATAAGTTGGTATTTTAGGAGTATTTCGTTAGCTTACAAAAACGTCTTACATTATGGGACGAAGTGAGTATAAATATAGTAACATTTAAAAAAATAAATTAGGATGGCCATCTGTGCACACCACACATGCACGAGCAGTTTTAACGTGGCTCCTCTTACCTCTTCTTTAATTAAGCAGTGAACACGACAAATTAGCCTATGGTAATTAATTGGTTCTATCCTGTCACCATCTCCCGGTGGGAAAGGCTCCATATTCCTTGAAAGAAAGAGGGAAAGGCTCCATCTCAAACTAAGGAAACTGAATCATATTATTTCTCAAATCTATTGCGAAATCGGCATGGAGTGAGAACTATGGTAAGATGTCCTCTACTGAATCTCTCTCCCTCCGAGAAATCCTCTCCTGAATCACCGCTCATCTAAATCTCTTTCTCCACGTCTCCTTCTCCATGGCTTCGGGCACAAATATCAGATTTTATGCCTTGGAATTGAGCAAAGATAGTTATCTGCCATCAAATTTTTGGTCATTGTGGAGGATCCGGCATTTTTATTCGTGAATGTGCCACCCATTTGTCATGGATGTGGTCGACTCGTGTTGTTTCCTTTGTGTCGTGCAGCGGTCTGAGGGCTAGCTATGGTTTTTGTGACGTCGTAAACTTTTCGTCGACATTCCTGGCTAGCCTATATGTTGCACGGATTGAGATGGTATGCGCGTATATGATTCTCATCATGTTTTCTGAGTGTGGTAGTTTGCTTCCAATTTTGACGACCTTTTTGCGGTTTTGCACTTCGAGTCCTACTGTAAGTATGCCTGAAAAATTTGTTGAGCTCTTCGACGAGTAGAATGACAACCAAATGAAATTTGTTCATGAGACGGAGACCAAATGCTTGAGTAGCACCACCATCTTTCTCTATCATGTGTCGCCGTCACCACTTTTCATGATCATAGCAGCTACATGCGATGTGAGACCGCCGCTGCATAACCATCCCTCTAGGAGTGGTCACCACAAGGACCGACATCCTTGGTGGAGCACACACCATGGACTACCACCTCGCTGGAGAGAGCTCTACCCAGACACGTAGGTCCTGGTGCCGATATGGCCGGAGCTGTAGCATGAAAGGTTGATCACGATCGCTAACGTACGCCCGCGCAAAGCACAACCACTACTAGATCAGGAGTGCGCGGACAGTTCGGCGCCACGTCTCCTAACGGAAGCATTGTCCTGCCCGAGCATACCCGCTTGAGCCAGTGCGAGAATCTGGAGAGGAGCCGAACCACAGAACGGGACAAGCAAATGCAGCCGCTGCTACAACCACCGTGCCACAGGTGGAGAGCCAGACGGCCAGCCGACAGGCATTCACACAGCCCGAAGGAAGTGGCCTCGAACCAGCCCGTCCAGGCACAAGCACGAAGAGGCCCGCCGCCATCGGCAGCCACCCCAGATTCGACCTACGGTGCAACCCCTGCACTGGCTATGCCTAGCGTAACCACGCCCCGACCGTCACCAAGGTGCAGAGGACCGCCCCGATGTCGTGTCCCACACCACGCCCCCACGCCACGCCACATCCGCAGGGAAACTAGAGCCCCACCGCCACCTTCTCGAGGCCGGCCAGAGCTTCACTGGTGGACGCCCAACAAGGAGGACGAACTAGCGGGCAAGGGTTGATTCTCCCAAGTCGCCAGAGGAAGGTGACACTGGGGCGAGTTTTCCCAATCCGGTTTTTCTAGGTAAGTCCTTACAAAAACATCGAAGGAATAATAATAATTTAAAGCACAGTTAAACAATACATATTTGTATCATCTTATGGTAGAATAGAACGTTATCAAATATATAAGATTATGTGGCCGAGTATCAATTTTTAGCAAGACCTCAATGATTCATGTG